TATATGCACAACTGGGTCTCCTATTGTGACTTCTCTTGGGCTCTGTCCCTTCTGCTTGTTTGCTTTGTCCAACTTCAATGTGATTGTTTTTATTTTATCTTATGTTTTATTTTGTTATGTTTGGTGATTATCTCTTGGAAATCTGTTCTGTTCCAGAACAGAAAGACAGAAAGGGAGGAAAGATGGGGAGAAACTAGGAGGAGTAGAGGGAAAGGAAATTGTAATCAGGGCATATTGCACGAGAAAAGAATCAATTTTTCATAAAAGGAGGGCAAGGAACACACAATTGAAAAGAATCACTGTTGTCCCTTCCCTGTAAAGCTCATCAGTGAGATTGCCATTGGCTGAGAACACATCTGGAAAATGTCATATTCAAGAGTGGAAAGAAGATAGAAGGTTTAATCTCCAGATCTCCTGCAACAGTATTTAAGTTTTGTTCCACCAATGTTTCTTCCTCAAGAAATCCAACGTCTTCTATAAGCAGTTAAGTTTCTTCTATGGTAAGAGGAAGCAAAGTGTTAAGGAGGTAGAGATTAGGCTCTAAGCCATTCACTTTGTTCTTGTACAAAAGGTGTGCCTACAACAGAGCCATACCATGTTCATGTAATGTCTGTAGTATGGCTATTTTTAATACATGGTTAGAGTTGACCACATGACTGACAAAGCTGATAATGCATATTTGGTGTTCTATACTGAGTGGTGATTTAGTAGCACAACTGAAATCAGACTTTAGGATATTTTGGGGGTGGAGTGAGACAGAATCTCTCTATGCAGTTTTGGATATCCTGGAATTCTCTGTGTATACTCAGCTGGTCTCAAACTCACAGAAATCAGCCTGGCTGTGCCTCCCAAATATGTCCGTACATGCAGCTAGAATGTAGGCTATTTTTTACTTCTGATGGTGTACTTTCAGGATTGTACTTGACTACCTCTAAAATTAATTACAAGAACAATTATTTCACAAGTATTTAATCAACAACAAACCACTATCAACTGGCTTTTTCTGTCCCTATACAACATTCAAGTCATTTCATAGCTCTTGTCCTGACATAGTTGCATTACATTTCCTCACTTGGAGCATTTATGAGAAAAATGTTTTCTGTGTGATTTTTTTTGAAAATGCTAAGTGGGGTTCTGTAGAACATGAATGTTCTGAGGTCTAGCAGCTTGTGGATAAGAAACAATTCACAGTGACATTTACCACCAGATTTGCTGCCTCTTTGCTACCATCTGCATACAGGCCTTCAGACCACTGCTAAGTCCTGTCTGGCTGGCTAAAAATTTCCCTAACTTTCTGTAGAGAAACTTCACAGAAGCATTGATATTCTCCCAATAACTGTCTGGTAAGAACACAGAGGTACTCCTCTGGATCAATATTGCCTGGTTGTTGTGATTTCTACTTTCTTGAACTTCTAAGTTACAAAGTACTTGGTCAGGAAAGACAGAGATGGGAAAATGCTGGAATTATAAGGAAGTTCCCTTGGCACTCACAACACTGGATTTCACTGGAACCCCCAATGAGGTTCACAAAACAGTAGGTGGAAAGACAAATTTTCACAAGCAATCAAGGCCTGGTTCAGGAGTTTTCAAACTGTGTTCCTAAGATAACCAACATTGGCTTCACCTTTGAGCCTTTTAGAGATATGATCTTGACCTCAAACTTACCGAATCAGAAACTCTAAGGTAGAAGGCTCATATTCTGCACTTTAGTAAGAAAGTAATGCTTTCTTTTTGCATGGTGAAATTTGCAAAACACTGACATAGGGCACTGGATGCTAATCAACACTTGTGTCTTTTGTTTGTCTCCCAATGTAGTACTTCATATATAAAGATGGCTACCATCAAGTCTTCTGTCCAAGCATGGAATGTCAACAATGTAACTCTTCTTTTAAGGGATAACCATGAGCCTACCCCTCATCTGGGTTGAGTGAAAGTAATATATAAATGTCAGAGTCTAAGCATCACGAGATCTTTAAGCTTCCACCTTCCCCATCTTAGAGGTAAACTGTCTTAAGTGCATCACAGCATGAAGCCATACCAGAGGATGTATGCCTACCAGAGCCTAGCCTCCCAGAGGATGCTGGGTTGTATATAGGAGTGAGGACATAAAGAGAACACCCACCTCTCAGAGATACAAGGAGACAGTTTTAGACCTCCTAGCTCATCAGATGCTGAAAAATTGCATTCAGATAGATTATACTAGGGAGGATGCACAATATCCATGCATCTGCTCACAGTAAAAATGGAGAGTCACAGAATCAAAAGCAAGTAAGTAATAATTGCTTTAGGTCACTATGTTTTGGAGTAATTTATATAATAGGTAACTGAGACACCCAGATGTATAAGATCATCAAAATATTTCAAACATTTGTTGAGAGCGTGAACATTTTTCTTGTAAATTTGAACAATTTTTACAGCTCAAGAAGACCACTGCATCATATTATATAATGGAAGTAAACAGCCACAGGGAAGCTTGCTTTAGTGTTTTAAAAAGGCCACTTTGAAAAAAAAATCAAATCAAATCAAATCAAAAGCCAATTTGAAACTCAGTCTCCACACATGTAAAAGAAAATTATTCAGCCAGATGACAATTTCAATGATTATTCCAGGCTCAGCATTCTAGGTTTCTAAGAAATTCAGAGAAAACTGATTTCAAGACACAACACTGCAGGTTGCTATTATCCCCTAGAAATCTAAGAGTGCATTAAATTAGAATTAACTTCTTGCTTGCTGCCTTTACCTAGAATTTCCACTGTGTTGTAGGATGGACAGATAGTGTTAGACACAGTAACAAAACAAATCACCACTTGATGTAATTGCATTAGAATCCTATCTCTCTTGTTTTGTAGCTGTGTGGTCTTAATCCAGCAATATTCCTTCTATTCCTTGGGTTTCTCACCTTTAAAAAAAAGTTGTATATAATCATATTTACTTTACAATTTTTGCAGGGATTAAAGACCTAATGTAAAGGAAGCTATGCATGTAAGAGGAGGACTTTAGGAAACCATCATGGTAATTACAAACCCTGTTGCATTATAAAATAGTCTAGGGAATAATAATCACATAATCAAATCATGTTAGAAATTAGATTTTTTTAAATCATGTAGTTTAGATTAAATTACTATGTGTCACAAAACCAAGAATATAAACAATTCTTAATTCTGATGCTTAAACTACAGCATGAGAAAAACTGTCTTGGAATAAAAGCACATTCTGATTCCCTGCTGATACTTTTCGCTCAACATTTGTGTGTTCAGTATGCTGACTTTAAGCCCATATTTTTGTCAGTTTGCTGGAAGAGATAAAAGTCCCCTTTTGGAGAAAAGTCCTCTCCCGCTTCCCCAACTTTGGCCTTAGTGCTGCCAACTCTCCCCAGCAGCTCAGAGCTGAGGCCAAGGTTAGACTCCCCACTGGTCACAATATAGCAGGAATGGTGGGGTGAAGCAGGGAGCCATAGATAGTGATGAAGTCCTCATCGACAGGGAGTAAGCTGAACAGGGGCCTGACAATATTGGCTTCCTTCAGTGCTCTTCTCGCTATTTATGTAGCCTCTGCTGCAGGCTCGATATCCTTTGTGATTACCACCCTCCCACTCTAGTACCTTCCTCAGTGTGGCAGCTGTGACTTTTTTACTGCCCATTGCAATTTCTGTCTATACACAGACAGTGTTCCCTGTCTGGCATCACCTTCCTGATGTTTTCAGGCTTGCCTAGCTACACTTCTGACAAAAAATGCCCTCATCCCAACCCATTTACCCATTTTCTCCCCTTTTCATTTTCTCTGAAACTGTTTCTCATACTCCAGTGTGTGTAGGAATCACCTCGAGAGTCCATTAAAATGCAGGTAAGTTTGCAAGGGATAAGACTAGGGCTTGCCTTTCTGCCTTCTGTCCTAAGCCACTTGGCATGAATCTGTAGACTACATCTCTCTCACAGCACTTATAATTGAGACAATGCATTTTCTTCTCATTGGCTTATCATCTTTCTCTTCCAGTTTGTGCTTCATAAAACAAGAGAGTTAACTTATTTTATGATGAATTCTCAGCACTTAGTCTGATGCCTAATACATAGAGTTGCTCCATCTATTTTGATTAAATAGATTAATTATACTACGTTCTTATAAACCAACACTTTAAATGTATTTCTAGTTAGAAACATCATCATACCATTTAGAAACACAGAATCTTAAAGAGATTTTTTTTTGTTCCCTGACTTTGATTATTCCTGAAGTATTCAGAGTACCATACTTGGAAATATAAACCCTTAAGTTCCACATTCCACATTTTTATAAAAATATGATTTGAACACATTATCTTCACAGCATTACAGACTCTGAGATTGAACATGTCAATGACATCTAGGAAACAAACACCAATTAAGGACTGTATGTGGACAACTGTATATTTGTGCAGAAAGAACCAAAAATTAGGGTTCATAAAAGGAAATAAAACTGACATAATTTATTCACTATGTTGACAAACAAACCCCACAATGCTTACAAATCTTTTTCAAGTCTCCAGTGTCATTACACCATCCCCTTGATCTTTGTTCTTAGATGATAGGGATGTGGTGATTTCCTGAGTTTCCCTACTAAGATTTACATTCAAATTTAGTTAAAAACTACTCCCAGGAATCCTCTGCTTCTGATGAAGCAGAAACACAAAGGAGAGGCCTTCTCCTGGCAATTTAGTATGGCTTTACAAAGCCAGCCAGCTTTAATGCTCTTAAGGAACAAGCTAAAGTATCTGTTTAAGCCATTATGTTTTCTAACCTGTCCTCTTCTTTTCCTTGAAGTTGGATCCTCTGAAAATACAGCTTGTAAATCTCTCAGTGTCTAAGGAACCCAACCAAAGAGCTTTTGCATAATAAATAACATAAATGTTTACTCCTCTCTGCAGAATCAGAAATCAGTTTTCCTTTTCAGTCAGAGATAATCTCATAGCCATGGTTTTCAGCAAAGAGCTAAAGTGAAAGTGAACACCTGGGACACAGTGTACTTACAGGCTCCAATAGTGGTCAGTCCTGGGACACGAACAGGCTGCTTTGTCCTCAGCTCCTGAAGTAAATGGTTTACAGTCTCCCACTCAGACCTCAGATCTTCTAATTTTCTCTTTAATAGAAAAGCATACATGTTATTGATTTCACCACCAAGGGGCTTTAACTTAATCATAAGGGTATTCAAATGTATGTACCATACTGCAAATAACTTTTAATATGTGAGCTATATGATTCTATAATATTGATATGAAGTGTTTTATGTAGGGAGTCCTAATCTGTCCCATGCATAAGCTCCCAAATCATGAAATGGAGACATTAATGATTATAAAAGATGAACTGATAGCTTAGGCTTATTTCTAAGTAGCTCTTATAATTTAAATTACCACATTTCGATTAATTTACTTTCTGCTTTGTGGGTTTATTACCATAAATCTGTACTGCCCATGCTGCTTTCCTGCTTCCTCTGTGTCTGGCTGGTGACTCTGTCTTCTTCTTCCCAGGGTTTTCTCTCTGCTCTCCTCCAAATACTGCCTAGCTTTTATCCCTTTAGCTTTTTATTAAACCAATCCTAGGGATACTTCTTCACAGTATACAAAAAGTTTATTCTGCAGCATTTCCCCTGTTTTGTCTAAATAAAAAGGAAAGGTTTTTAACTAAGGCATGGTAAAACTATATACAATAAGAACAATTGTCAGGTACAAATTACATTTGCAATGTCCAGTCCACTTGTATTTGGCATATTTTGGGGAAAATACTCTATTACTTATTCTATCTTGATGAGTTCAAAGCTTTGTACCTAATTTATCTCCTATTATAAGCAAGGAATTCTGCAACTATAACTACCTAGTCTCCAACTCCATCAAGGACACCAGAAGGATATAATATTACCTGAGTAAACAGGAAGTTCAGGGAAAGCCACTTTCAAACCTATAGAAATGACAGACATCTGGATGCCTGGACAGTTACTCAAGGTTCATCTGTAAAGATGGGAATTCCATCTTTGACCTACATGCCTAGTATATCTGACCGACTGTTTTATGAAGCAGGAATGTTAAAGGACTGTCCCACCTAGTCTTGGCAAAGTTTAGCAGTCACTTTGCTGTGTGTCCTATAGAATGTCTCACAGATTTTTCTGTGAAGTGGGAATTTTGAAGGATTATTCTCCTTATCTTAGCAAAGTTCAACAGTCATTTTTCTTTGTGTCTTGCCAATCCGGTTTGTATAGTATTCTGTCAGCAGTAAAAACAAGAGCAGTTTCTTGCCCAAATGGCTAGTTTTGTCACATTTTGTCACTCCATATGGAGCTTCTTCAATGTCCATTTATTGTCATGAAAAGCTGTATGCTAACAAAACATTTTAAATGCCATATTCTGTGTGTTTTTGATGTGTTTGAAGACAATATATATCTCTGTTTGAACTTGGAAAAATACCGAACATGACTAAAAGTTGCTTTTTTAGTTTAAAAGTAGATTCAATAATCTACCCTTTTATGCTATTATTTCTATACCTGCTTTGTCCCCCAAACTACATCACTGAATCTATTCTCCTTTGTTCAGCTTTTTTCCTCACTATGACCAATTCCAATTTGTAACCAACCACCCTTAACAATGACAAACATCCATCACCGACTGAGTGACCCAAAATCAACCATCCCACTTCTTGGGAATGTGGTTGTTGTGTTTCTAGACTGCTTCTTATTGTTTGGGGGTGCTTGCATCTTTGGGGGACCCAGAGAAAATTGTGATAATGGTCAAGTCCTGGCTAGAATAGTCTGTGAGGCTAGATCATCTTAGTTAGTAGCCTTGAAGCTGTTCTTGATGCAGAACACTGAAGAAACTGAAACAGAGGCTTTCTGAGAGGCTGGATGACCTGGGCCACCTGTTTTCGTTGGTATTTGGTCCCCTTTCTCTAAAAACCAATAAACTTTCAAAGGTAACATACATATCTGCACTAATACAAACATAGACTCTGTGTTGTACACATTCCAGCCAAAGATGATTCTTTTGATTTATGTTTGAGCAGATAAAATATATGTCACCTGTCTTGTAGTTTTTCTAGGTTTACTTCTTTAACTCTGTACCCAGGATTTTCAAGGGGTCATTCCTGACCAAACTGGATCCTCTGTAACCTTGAATGAATCTACAGCCTTTTGTTTTCCATGGAAAAAAACATAACCTATTCTGCAATGTAACATATTTTTTGACTTCTATTTTGAAGTTAAGGCATTTTAAAACATATAGATTGGTTTAATTTAGCAGTTTTCATAATCCAGTATCTCTCAGCATCTATCTTTTGTTCATCAGCAATCAAGAAAATCAAAGACAACACAATAACATACAGGATCCAGACTCTGTGTATTTCCAGTCTCTACATGGCTTATAATTTATTTTTTTATTAATTTACTCTTTCTTTAAAGATTTTACTTTATTACTTTTAAACTATTTATTTATTTTTGACTATATATTTTTTCCTTTTTTTTAAGCCTACACACATTGTTAAGCACACTGTAACATACTTAGAGTTTTTTTTTTCCATCTGAACCTGCTTTACTCTGTGTATCTGTAAACTTTTCTGCCTGAATGAGCAAAATCTTAAACCACCACACAAGTTATCTCATGGCATGCTGGCAGGCATTGGTCGGGAGACTAGTCTCTATACAACACGAGTGGCTGTGGAATTAGGAAGCCACATTTGACTCCATTTTTGTGTGTTTGGAAACTTTTTAAGTTTTCTTAGGTCTTATGGGAAAATACACGGCCTCACATTGAACACCATTTGTATGTAGCAAATCTTTCTCTGTCCCACTAATCAGATCCCAAGTCACGACATGGTGACTTATCATTAATTATGAAAGCTTGGTCAGTAGCTTAGGCTTGTTTCTAACTAGCTCTGGTAACTTAAATTAACCCATTTCTATTAATTTACTTTCTGCCTCATGGCTTTATTATCTTTACTCTTTACTGCCCATGCTAATTTTAGGCTTTCTCCATGCCAGGCTGGCAATTCAGCCTTCTTCTTCCCAGGGTTCTCTCTGCCATGAAAATCCTGCCTAGCTGTTGGCTGTTTAGGTTTTTATTAGACCAATTTGAGTGACATTTCTTCACACTGTACAAAAAGATTATTTCACACCAGTTTTATTTGATTTTTTTTTTACTTTTGATTTAATTAATTTTTTTTCATACAAAGTGTCATGTAGTCAAGGCTTGCCTGGAACTCATGAAATACTTGGGGCTAACTTTGAACTTCTGATATACCTGCATTCCATTCTAAGTGCTTGGATTTCACGCATATATTTGCATGATCAGTTGTATGTGGACTCAAAGAGCATATCCAGACCTTCATAAATACTATGCAAATACTCTATATTCCCAGCTGTCATATGAAGCTTTTGAATAAAAAACTGTTTGAAAAATGTAGAAGAATCAAAATTTGTAAATTAGTGTTATTTTGTAGAATGAACAATAGCACATATGGAAATATCACATCACTTGACTATATCAATATGATTGTCAAAAAAATTGTTTACAATTTTTCTGAAAAGACTACTGCAATTGTAGGTTAATTCTCATGTTCAAATATTATGATTAGCATTTATTCTAACTCTTTTTTTTTTGTTTGTTTGTTTTTTTGTTTTTTCGAGACAGGGTTTCTCTGTGTAGCTTTGCGCCTTTCCTGGAACTCACTTGGTAGCCCAGCCTGGCCTTGAACTCACAGAGATCCGCCTGGCTCTGCCTCCCGAGTGCTGGGATTAAAGGCGTGCGCCACCACGGCCCGGCATTATTCTAACTCTTTTAAGAATTATTTTATTTTACATTCACTTATTTGTATAAGTGTGTGTGTGTGTGTGTGTGTGTGTGTGTGTGTGTGTGTGTGTGTGTATCATGTGTTTACAGATAACAACAGAGGCCAAAAAGAGTTATCAGACTTTCCTAGAACTAATGTTAAAGGTGATTGTAAGCCAACTGAAGTGGCTTCTGGGAACCATATTCTGGTCCACCAGCAGAGCAGCAAGTGGTCTTAACCTCTGATCCATCTCTTGCATTTTTGAAAATCCAAAAGAAATCCTAGTAAAGTTGACAAAGTGAAGAAAATAGGGAGGAGACTAAGCACGTCTCAATCTCAACTTAGTTTGGGAAAGGAATATAGCCTTAGTTAAGCCAGACAATGTTTTTGAAACAAAATATGGAGGTGTCAAAAGACACCTAAGAAATGGACATTCTCCAATGTTTCTTTAATGATAAAGTCTGCAAATGGTAGACAGACATCTATATAAACAACTAAATATTATGTAAATATCATTGAAGAATATTGATTTTCTTTTAAAAAGATACTTATTTTTAAAATGAAATACGCATATATCTATTTGTGCATGTGTATGTGCATATGTTTGGGGTTGCCCATGCAGGGCAGAAAAGGGTGTCAGATAGCCTGGAGGTGGAGTCACAGGCAGTTGTGAATCACTCAATATGGATCCTAGGAACTAAGCTGAAGTCTTCTGGAAGAAAAGTAAGCATTTCTCCAGCCTCCTCATTTTTTTTAAGAATATCACTCTGCCCACTATTTGTTATTTCCAAATACATTCCTTTCAAAAGTTATACACAAATTTGCCTTATCAAAATGTATTCCAGACTGAGAAGACCAGTTTTCTTTCCAATAAATGCATAGGAAGGTTCAAAATTAAGGATAATATAGAGCATTTTCATAATTTAAAATATACCACATATGGGCCCAGTGTTGAAAATGGCTTTTTTTTCCCATAGAGTGATGGATCACCCTTCAGAAAAACCAACAGTAACCTTTAAAGAAAAAGCATTCAACTTATGCAGAGATCCAAGCAGTCCTCACAAGCTGTCTGACTTGAATGTTAGATGTCATGTTCTGAACTGTGAGAGTACTTTTGTGAGATTTTAGTGCTTTGGGATACTAAAAAACTGCAGCTATATTGTTGAGTGTTTTCCAGGTGATGGTCCACATAAGAAGGCGTGTCTCTTAAGTAGAATAGTTGCCTAACATGTACAGTGCCCTGAGTATTTCATGCCTAGTTTGGCAAAACAAGACAAAATGTCGAGTCAGTCGTTTCTGTACATCTGACACATTCAAATCAGTCATTCCCCTTATCCCTATTAACCTGCTATTCTGCGTTCTCTACAAATCAGGGAACTGTAGACATGGTTTTACTCAATTTCTACCTCTCCCAAATGAGCTGACTACTCAGGAAATGGGGAAGCAGGAAAAGTGGGAAGAAAAAAATAATATTGACTAACAAGATGGCTTTAAGAAAAGGGAGGGGATAAGATAAGCTGTTTCAGTTCTCCATTGACTTCACCAAGGAAACAGCAGAACTGGATAGAGCTAGCCATATAGCCCAGTTCTCATTTCAAATCAACCTTAGGATTGAGTGTATAGGTGGAAGTGAGATTAAGTCAAGTGTCACTGGTTTGATTATTTTATATATGAGAAAAGCAAAATTGTCTACATCTTGAAGGAAGGATTTTTCTGTGTATTATGCAAAAGCAGAAAGTAAAGCAAAATTAAATGCACATTTGAGATTTATAAGAAAGGGTGTTAAACCTCAACTCATTGTCATACCCATATGGCATTAAGGTTTTGAGCATCCATGATGAATAGATAGAATGGACTTATCTGCTGGAGGCACAGAGTTCCTTGTGCCCACAGAGAAGCACTAAGAGAACCAGGAATGTTAATCATGCAGGGGTGTCACTCAGTGGAGGGGTACAAATCAAATACCTGCATTCCATCCAGAAAGGTCAGAGTGGAGGTTGTTTACTACATGGTGACCATTTTGCTATACAGGCAGACCTCACCCTAATTCCCCAGAATGGCTATCTCAGACTCTTCCCTCCATAAACCACTACCCATCTTTAGGTTACATGTCACAAGTACTTATGGCCTGCTGACCTCTATGTTATCGATCAGAGACTACACTATATTCTAGGTCTTTTAGTTATAGAACCCACTCCCATGGTCACATATAATTTGTAAAAGAGTTTCTATGTTGTCACACCTTAAGCTTTCTTGTATACTTGGAATTGGATTGATTGTTGTCTGGAAAACTTTTCCCAAACTGTACTGTGTTTTAAATTTGTTGACAATGTCTCCCACGGGGAGTCAGCAGAGCCTGGTGCACTCAGTTGAGGCAGGTCCAAGCCCCTCCTCCCTGCACCAAGGCTGTGCAAAGAGTCTCATTCATTAGGGATGGGTCCCATTCCCACTTGCCTTGGGGGATGTGGGAATGGGGAGTGGGTTGGGGGAGGACTGGGAGGGTGGGAGGAGGGAGGACAGGGGATTCTGTGGTTGGTATGTAAAATGAATAGAAAAATCTCTCAATAAAAATTTAAAAAAAATGTTGATAATGAACCACCTGGAATTAGACTCCTAGAAATCTGATCCAGGCTGATGAAGTCAATCTTCACCGTGTTTTCATTATTATCTCTTTGAGTGGTTCACTTCCCTGTATAACACCTGCAGCAACTGCCATGCTTATCCACTAGTCCATTTGTTTATGTCTTGGCTCACTGGAATGAGGGTCTCTGTGGTCACTACCATGGAGACATTACCACTTTGCTAACTAACCTGTACACCTTTTTGAAATTGCTGCTCTCAATACTGCCTCTAAGTCTGCAGTCCAAACCCCCAAAATGCTTATTTTATTTTTAAAAGTATCATATCAAACCTGAAACTATGTAAATTGTTTTTGTGGACTTCTGGAGTAGATATACCTTTATTCTTGAATAAATGAATTTTAATATTACCAGAGAAATCTGTGCTTTTTTGCAACTGGTGTTTTGTCATTATGTTCAAAATCCAACTTTAATTTATCTAATGAACATTTCCATGTAAGCTTTAGGGAAAACAAACAATTCTGAAGAACTAAACCTTGGCTCAAGTACAAGAAAACTAAGCAGTGAGCTTATAGACAGTCTAAGTTCTGGTAATGGTATTTGCAAGGACAAACTGCTGCTGTATAATGAGGTTATTGACCTGCACAGTTTTAGAATGGTTTTGAATGTGATTGTAAGGCTGCCTAAATCTCAGCCAGCAACATTAGCTGAGAAACCAAAACTGATCAATAAATAGCCGCCATTTACAGGCTCTCAGGAACCTTTATCACAGTGGAAGCCATTACAATTTTGACCAGACACAGAGAATAAGGTAAACTCTACCTAACATCTATCATTTATCACTGGATTCTCATTTGCAAATGGGAACCATTGATTAGGTGTTTGTTTGTATGTAACTGACCTAGCTTTCTATTTCTCTTCTCAGGTAAGATCCTGTGATTAAATGTACCCTGGACTTCAAAAAACACACACAGAAAGAAAGGAAGTAGAAAGCTTTCACTCAGGCCGGCTTTTTACTGAAGAAAAATGCAATTACATGACATTTCACTAAAAATTTCTGACCTAATAAAGTACTAAAGCCTGAATGCATGTTTTTTTTTCTTTCAAAAGATAGAAGAAGAGAGCAAGGAAAGGTCACAGACCATATTGTGATTCTTTACAGCTGATGCAGACAGTGTGATGCAATGGCTTGCTTTAAATTAAGCCAAACAACATGAAGAGTATCAAGGCTGGCAAGCAAAGCAATAAAGCCCAAAGAATTTAATCTACCTTGAAGGTGGTACTACTTTCTGTATTGATGGTACCACACCAGGCCAGAAATGAGTCCTTTAATGCAATGACTTGTTAATAGGCTTAAGATCACACTATATAAATAGGATATGTTGACCAAAAAGACAGCTTTACCTCTGCAATTGTAGTATGGCAAATATTTCCTTACAAGTCATTCCAATGATTATAAATAGACCTTGTCAATGGCAAGTGTACAACAGGGGAAATATAACCCATTATGTGGTAATAGAAATTGCGAGAGGTTGCTTCATTACCTTCACTGGCTGAGTGCTTGGTTTTTCCTTATACAAATGCTGCCCTTTAGACAAAAGCCTTTCCACATCCGGTTGTTTAGCTTGAACTGTTACTTCAGTTTCCTGGGGAAAAGAATGCATACAGTGCAGATTAACTTCACAGTTAGCAATAAAATTACTAAATTTAAATATATCCTTGGAGACTCCACATGCATTGCAGATCAATTTCTGCATGGTACACAGGGGCAGAAAAAAAGGAAGCTTTTGATGCAGAGAAAATAAAGAGATGTTCTTGTGAAATATATTAACATTGAAACAGTACAAAATCTTGAATTGTATCATGGTAATATTGCGGACACACACAGACATTGTGTATTCTTTTTAAAAAAAAGCAAAATGCAACAATGAGAAGTATAATTTATCAGTATAATTGATACATGTAAACACCATATTTAACATCAATAATATTAATAATGTTAATGTTTTATATACCTGACAGAGTCCTTATTTTATAGGTTTCTGTTTTGAACTTCAGATCTTAATATTCATTCTCTCTCTCTCTCTCTTCCCTCCCCCACACCCTCTCTCTACTTGTGAGTGTATATGTAAGATAAACCAAACAACTCTTTCCATATTACTGTTGAAATGAAGTTTATTTTCAAAGAATAAACATTAAGCACAATACCAAAGTTTATCATTTATTGTGTAGTCAAATTAAACAGGTTTTTTTTGACGAGGGATTAGATTATTTTTTATAGCATTTGTTTTTCCATTGCCTGGGGACCACTGAAGCATGGCAGAAAAAACAAGCACCCCTTTAGGTATATGAATAGAAAGTGTTTTGTTACTGACTTCTGTCCAGCTCTTAAAGAAACAACAAAAGAAATGGGAATAATTGAAACTGAAGGAAGTGAAGTTCACTATCACAGAAGACTTTTTGTATGGAACATTTGTTAAACACTGGGGTGGTGTATCGATTAATCAATGTCATGTGTCAGTCAGGGCCTGGGCAACCTGCCTCAGAGCTGCTTTTGATTAAGTAGCATTCTTGTCTCCTCTCTTCTCTTCTGGTGCCTCCTGGCACTGGTGTGTGTACATGTTTTCCGGCTTTAGTTTCCTCCCTACACTGCTTCCACATGTTCCCACTCAGTCCACAAGGGTGGAAACCTGTGAACTCAAGTTACTATAATCTGATCATGCACAGCAGGATATCCTGAAATATATGAGTGCTCAGGACCTGCTCTTGAAAGACTGGTTGTCTTGTTATTATTAGAATAACTACAAGTGTGAGTTGGGTGTTTTGGTCAAAACTGTACCTATCATTAAGAGTATTGGCTGTGTATGAATAAGAAACCACATACTTCACTTTCCTGAAACAGCCGATCAGTGCACTACCAACCACTGCCACAAAGGTATTGTGCTTTCAAGTAATTCTTTGATAGTAATTCTTTAATAGAGGTAGAATAGTTTCCATCTCAGATCAGTAACAAGACACATCTATTTACAGGTACTGGTTTCCTAATAGTACTCCCCAAACTACCCATTCTCCCTTGACTCAACTTACAAAAGATTTTGGTGCTATGAACTGCCATTCTTTCTAAAAATAATGTGAAAAAAATAAATTATTCTAAAGAAAGAGCATATTATTAGCAAGGTCAAAATACGTTAAAAGAGGAACAATGCAACAACATTTTTCATCTGTATATGTATGATTGGTGTGTGCCATGCATTACCAATATAAGTCTATGTACTGTGAAAGCATTTTTGGAAAGAAGATATATATATATATATATATATATATATATATATATATAAAGACTGATTAATTGATTAGAACTGCAATGATGTGAATTGTTCCAATGTTACAAGTTCCAATGTTGTAAGCCTAATTACAGTATGCTGTGCTAGTTTTAGTCACCTAAAAATTCATCCATTGCCCACCTCTGTGTCAGAACTAACATCCTGTGACTAATAGATAAAGTAGATTTTTAAAAAAAAAAACCTTTTAGAATCTATTAAATTAGCAGACCACTAGCTTCTACCAACCCCAAAGCTAAGATGGTCAAGATAGCATTTGAGGCTTATAAGGGAGATTACCCTATCTTGCTGTGACATGTTTACCAGATGTACCTATCATTGTACTTTAATATTGCCTTGATTTATGACTTTCCTTGTTATGGTAGTATAATACCTCACGAAACTGCTTCCATGTGGGAGCATGGATCTGGGGATAACTTACCTCGCTTTGTGTTTCCCGGGCCATGGTCATTCAAATTTGGATACAGAACAAACATCTCTTATTCTCTTTGAAGTGAGAGTTGTAACTTTCACATCAACAGTAGCCTATCTAAACTACATGCACATTTTACATTGGAAATGAATTGCCTTGAACCAGAGTCACTGGTGTTTATTCTACTTGACATGGGAAAAGTAGTTCTTAATGTGGGTTTGTCATTTTAATAGAACACTAAACTTGGAGTGGATGGAGGACTATAATTCACATTAACACCAGCAGTTTCTAATATACCCACAACCCATCCCTGTTTTAGATTAAAAAAAAAAAAGACATCCTTCTTTCAAACACTCTCATTTCTCTTTTTCTTTACATGCTAGGCAAAGAATAACAAGATCATCCACAGATTCCTTCCATTGAAATATATGCCCCAAGACACAGATAAAAGCTAGTATTTGTTACATTTAACACAATTTTCATTTCATAATATTTATATAGTTTTGCACTGGTAACCAACTTTCACACATTATTCCTATCAATATTTATTTTAATAAGACATTATTATTGCAATATAATCTGTGTAATAGTGGGTCTGTGAAATTTCTTTATGGATGGGAGAGGGTCTCTGGGGCCCTGCTCCTTCCTAGAGAGCTATTAGCCTCGAAGGGTTGCTAGGTGAGGGAGAATCATACTCTTCCGTGTAAGATGTTCATGCTTCAGTGGGTTGTTCCACACTTGTTCTCATGCAGAAGGCACTAGTCACACTTAATGTGTCAACACAAACATACACACGGAGGGGGGGGGGAAGAGAGACCAAATGGAAAGGGTATTTGTTGAAAGAGGTGTTTGTGGCTGTGGGAAAGTATAAGAGGTGGGGTATGTCAGAACTTGGTCCAAGAATAGAGCCATATGAGGGGAATTCTGAGTGCTTGTGAGACGGCTTCAAGAAAACAGAACAAGAGCCTTATGACCTTAGTGACTTCAAACACGCAGAATTGTTCTTTGAGTGTGTGTGTGCTTTCATGCCCCTTCCAGGTGCAGCAAATAGGAGTGAGTTTAATTATTCGTTACAACTGGCCTTTGTTACTTGTTTATATGCCTCTATGGAAAAACATGTTTTTGCCACGTGTGTGGCTTGTCCTTGTAATTACATACAGCTTGAACTCATGAAAACTTTACTCAGGTGATCTTTCTTAACCTTCAGGGTGTAGATTGTCTAATGTTCTGAATAAAGTTAGATATTGCATGAGACTTTAGTCTGCCTCATTTGTTGCCTTTGTTCTCTCAGGTCCCACCACCTCTAGAGAAGTAACCAAGTGGTGTCATGAATCAGGAACCGAAAGTCAGTTATAAGAGAGTGTTATCGCTCACAGAAGGAGATGAGTAAGACTAATGAGGCAGAATCCAGGGAAGACATTGCCTTATGTTGAGTTTGTGTATCACTTTTTAAAGAAAGAAGGAGCCTAAGTATGCAAATCACAACTATTAGATTGGTTGCAAATTGTTTAAGATTATAATCCTTGGTTTCTCGAAGAAAGAAATTTCATTGAAGAATTATGGTATAGGGTCTGAAAGAATATTGAAAAGGCATATAAACAATGTGAAAAGTTCAATTTTGGGTTACTTGTCCATTATTTTGGACTGTTATCAAAATGCTTAAGGAAGATAAGGAGAATACTAATCATGGGGAAGAAATAGTTAATATCTTGAATGAATATAAACTGAATGATCAAACCTTAAAATTAGTAAAAGAAGCAAAAGAGAAGGTGCAACCAGGCAGTTTCATTTTGGCCACCAACCAACTCCCAAATCATGACAAGGAGACTTAATTAGTTATAAATATTCACTCATATCTTAGCTCTTATTTTAATCTGTTTTTCCTCACTTATGTTTTGCCTCGAGGCTTTTAACCTTTTCTTTCTATTTTTTCCTGCTTCTTCTGTGTCTGTTTTTCTGGTAGCTGCGTGCTTGGCTGGCTAGCGCTGGGCATCTCTCTCTCTTTCTCCTGAATTTTCTCTTCCTTCTCTTCATTTTCGTTCTTTTCTTGTTCTATCAAGGGGAGATTTCTCCTATTTATTCTCTGTGCCCTCTAGCCCTCCTTTCTCTGCCTAGCTATTAGCCATTCAGCTCTTTATTAGACCAATCAGATGCCTTAGGTAGACAAGGTGAAACAAATGCAACACATTTTTACATAATAAAACAAATGCAGCATAAACAAATGTAACACATCTTTACATAGTTAAAGTAATTTCCAAAACAAGAAGGTTTTCCCCATTCAAGCAAAAATCAAAAGTAAAATTATCAACACCATGCCAGTGATGATTCCCTTAGCTCCCTTTAAATACATATCCTCCATTGCTTAAAAATGATCCTGAAGCATGGGGTGAGGAAATTGACATTCACTCTAATCTTGAATTCTCTCCACTTTTTGATGAGGACTTAGAAGAGCCTATGAAAAAGATATATATATATATATATATTTAAAAGAATTTATAACCTAGGCAAGCTAGGGCATGGCATGGAAAGAGAATTCATTTAGCAAGTGCTCCCCAGCTTCATGAGCTGTGCTTGGTACTTCCAATGCACCAACCAATCTATTTAAAACTCCATAATGAAAAATGGTGTTGGACAGTCCTTCCATACTATCTTGATAGGCAAGAAAAGAACTATAGCTATTTCAATCCAGACTAAAAGAGACATTTGTGAATCATGTGGATCCTCCACTTCCTATAAACTTGCTTATTTCCCCAACTAAATAGTCTCCTACAGGTTTTATAGCACAAGAAGATTAAACCCTTGTGATGGATTTATTTACACTATAAGTACCCTAAAATACTAACTGACTACCTTACTCTTCTTGCTCAATTAGTAATTCAGGGGAGCACCCGGT